AAAAGTGTGATTGTCGCCACAAAATCTTCTTCATTCAATGTTTACGACGACAAGAGGGCAACTGATGGACCCCAAATTAAGAAATTTAATTTGACAAAAGTGTTCTCAGATTGTCCATAATTAGCAACCCTCACTGATCACTGTAGGTTACCTGAGGTCAACCCGAACAACCTGGGGTCAATCACCCCAGGTCACTATGCCACCCCCGGGGTCAATCACCTTGGGTCACTTTGGGGTTATTTCGGCCATCTTGGGGTCAATCACCTAGGGTCACCTCGTCCACCCCGGGGTCAGTCCATCCACCCGGGGCCAATCACCCCGGGTCACCTTGGGGTCACTCTGACTACCCCGACGTCAATAACTCTAAGTCACCTTGGGGTCACTCTAGCCCATAAGGGTCAATCACCCTAGATCACTATGGGGGTCACTCCAGCCTGCCGGGGCAATCACCCCGGGTCACCTTGGGGTCACTCCGTCCACCTGAGGGTCAATCACCTCTGGTCACTTAAACCGCCGGGGTTAATCACCCCAGATCACTCCGGCCACCCCGGGGTCAATCAACTCGGGTCACATAACCTAACCCGAGGTCACTCCGCCCACCCGATGTCAATCATCCTGGGTCACTTTGGGGTCACTTCGGCCACCTAGGGGTCAATCACTCCGGGTCACCTTGGGGTCACTTAGGTCACCCCGAGGTCAATCCCCCTTGGGTCACCTAGCCCACCCTAGGGCCACTCTAACCACTCGAGGTCAATCACACTGGGTCTTCTTGGTGTCACTCCAGTCACGCCGAGGTGAATCACCTTGGGTTACCTAACCCACCTCGGGTCACTCCGGCCATCCAGGGTCAATCATTCTGGGTCACCTTGGGGTCAATCCAGCCACCCTGGGGTCAATCACCTTGGGTCTCCTTGGGGTCACTCCAGTCACCCTAGGGGTCAACTCGGGCACCTGCCCACCCCAGGTCACTCAGCACACTTGGACACGTACTCGCATGACGTGTCCCCTCTTCATACCATCAAGCTGCAGAGGGAGACACAGACCCCCTTCATGTCCCCCCCAGAGACCTCTATAAAAGGCCACTTCGTTTCCAGATTGAGGTAAGAAAAACTCCACATGCCTAGACTCGTGAACTCTCACTATGATTAGCGCAGATATTCATTTAGATGAACTATCACCACCCTTCGGTACTGGCTTCCTTGAAGGGTTTTGCACTCTCAAAAAGAAGTCATTTGATTATGAAGTTCTCAACTCCATTCCCTCATCTTTCATTTCGAGGTCATATTCCTCTGCACTCAACCCCCTCACTAACTTGAGCGTCGGAGAGTGTCCCCGCTGAGATCGGCCGTCAGACCCTTTTTGCAAGAGACGACCGGAGCTGACATCACGAGAGAAGTTCGAGGTGACAGGTGTTCGTCGACCAACTCCGGTAGCCAAAATAAAAATACTCAACGTCAACTACAACCCCGACATCAAGAGAAACATTCCAAAATTACCACAAATTCTCATAAACCACGGCCCCCTTATGGTAGTTTATACGAAAAACCGCAAGGGGGTGCCAGTTTTTGTTCCTGCTGGCTGAAAAATCGCATGCAGTCGTCGCACTCAGATTGACCGTACGCCACCTCTGCGATCCGAGGCAAAACCACTGCCACCCCCCGCGGTTTGCCTACGATTTTTTTTAACTTCAAACGAAACTAACTTTGCGCTCGGGTATCCGATCGTAGTGAAATTTTTTTGTTTAACTTTTCGAGATCTTGCCTTTGTCCCGAAAAACGTCGTTTGCTACCTCGAACGAGCAATTTTTCGATTTTGCCAAACTTTGAAATGCCATAACTTTGTGCTCCGAAACTCGAACATCATCAAACTTTTTTTGATTCCACATAAATTTTTAAGGACTACAAGTTTTACTATGAAGTAATTTTCAGAACAGGAAATATTTTTGGATATAAGGAATTTTGAATATAAATTTGCCTTTACGTTTCACAAATCCACATACATTCATAAAAAATAGTTATGGTAAAAGTTGTAGTCCTTAAAAAGTAATGCAAAATAAAAAAATCGTGACATTCGAATTGCAGAGCACAAAGTTATGGCCATCTAAAGTTTGACGAAATCGAAAAATTGCTCGTTCGGGGTGGCAAACGACGTTTTATCGGAACTAAGGCGAGACCAAAGCTCCTACGATAGTTTACGGTTTGCAAGTTCTTGAAAAGTTATGTGAAATAACTATTTTTAATAGATAGGAGTATGGGCTTTCTTTTTAATAGATAGGACTGCAACAACTTATGAAATATGCCTGGACCTAGGAGATAGAAAATAGGTAAAGGTGACAATTTGAATCAAATTCACCAATTTAGTCTAATTTATTCGTCAAGTAAAAAATCTCGCCAATTTATAAAACTCTCTTGGTGTGGTTAGGCAGATATGGGCTATGATACTGCAGCAAGAATATCTGTTGGATAGCTTGGATTCTGCCATATAGACCTAGGGGTTGTTTGTTTGTAGATTTGATTACAAATTTCAAGTTTGATAGATTTTACCCAAATTCATTGTTTGTTGATGGTTCTCAAATTTTGAGAAACCACAGATTTGGTTCTTCTTTTAGATCTAAATCCGTGAACCTATACTTATAAATCTCATATATTATGTTGGGATTTGGTGAAAAAATCCTTGATAGCAATTGATATTTGTAACAAATCCATTAGAACTACGTCAAATCTATCATGCAAACAATGGACTCTTCAAATAATTTTATTTTACCTAAAATCCTCATTTTTCAAATCTAACAAGCAAACGACCCCTTAAAGATAAGCATTTCTAGTAGTTCTATTGGTTCTTGGAACTACAATGGTGGAATAAAATTGCTACAATTTATTATTACATTAAGAAGATATCAAGGAGTCATTTAGATGAAGGATTTTGATTTGAGGAATTTGTAAGAGATTTTGGCCGAATTCCATTGTTTAAAATGTCATGGATTTTGTATGTAAATTTTACCAAAATCACCTTGGGGTCACTTCGGCCACCTAGGGGTCAATCACTCCGGGTCACCTTGGGGTCACTTAGGTCACCCCAAGGTCTCTTAAATATTTTCATTGTATCGCGCGTTCTATTTTCATAACTAAAAATCGAATATATATCAATATTAGCATAAGAAAACAATTACTGGTTATATAGCCTAATCGTTACAATTGAAAAACTTAATTGAAATTAAGGAATTTAAATTATGAAAGTGAAATGATTAAATTGATTTTTTAGTCAAATGAAAACATAAAGGGAATAAAATTACAAATATTGTTCATGTATCTTGAACTACCCTTAAAATTGAAGAATTTAATTGACCTAGTTTGTAATAACGGATTTGACAAACAAATTATTAAAGTTCGCAATTAAATCAAATTATAAAAGTTAATATGGCTAAATTGATTGGTTGAAGTGCTTAATTATTTGATTTCACTTAAAATAAGCACTTGGCCAATCCCAAAGATTCTAACGAAGAAACAAAATTGTTTAAGAAAAAGAGGGTAAATAGAATGAAAAGAAATTATAAGCATGCTTCCCATGGCTATTGAACCAGGGAAAAGAAGTTAGATTCGCAAAATAGTCCCCTCAGTTCCTGTTAGACTAAACCAAGGTCATTACCATCTTTTTGCACGTCAACATATTTAATTGAAACCTTTAGTTTATACATATAATACCGAGCATTTTATACGTAACTTTCAATTCTTGGGGGGCGGGACCCCCTGAGGGCTGTTATAGCTCCGCCCCTGGTTTAAAGTGAATGTATAATAAATAAGAACATTTTTTGGATGACAAATGTGAAGAAAGTTAATAATATTCACATAATGTGGTTTGAGTATTCACACTGAATATTTGAAGTATGTGGTGTGAATACTAAAACTACGTTAATGCATGGTAGAATCGACTAAACATTAGAATGATCTCTCCCAAGTAAATGAATTAAGACAAAATATATTTGAGAGAGTTGAAGAGGGGATCAACCCTCAATAATAGTCACACTAAACCCTAATGCCATACTGGCTACTGCTCCACATACATAGCCGTAGATCCAAGCATCAAACTAAACCACAAAACTTTTTTTTTTTACTTCAAACCACAAAGCCTCTTGAACAATGGAAAAGAAGAAAAGCACCAGTGTATCTTGTAACCCCTGATTGTTAAATCCTGGCTCCGCCCTTGCTTTAAACTTCATTTCATCATTGGTCATTGTCCGTCTATTTTCGTTAAGTTCATCGTACGTGGTAGTCGACTCAATGGAATTGGACGGTTGGTGTTCAATGATGAAATGAAATTTAAAACGAGTGACTAATAAAAAGAAAATTTTTTTGGATGGCAAACGTAAAAAAAAAAATTGATAATTCGAGTGACCAAAGATGTAATTTACTCAAACTCTTCCTTAAAAATATGTCAAAATGGTTTTTGATAATTGAAATTGTTAGATTGTAAATAATAGTTTAAAAAAGGTTTGTTCTTCAATCCCTTTGAAAAAATAATAATGCCTCCTCCTTTGTGTAAAATCCGAAAACTGATAAAAAGGGTGTTATGATGGATGTCATATGGGTTTTGGATTACGCCAGTCGGCCGGAATTTTTTTTATCGTGTTTGAGTGTTCTTTAGTCTTTACTTCACCCCCTAACGTCATTCATTTATTTGTCGTTTTGTCTTTTGTGGCCATAAATTTGGACAACACATTATATCGCATCGCATGGTGGCAATAGCGATACACCATATATCTGACCTCGTATCGCAGTATAATGTGAGTATGAGTTTTCGGACGAACAAACAGTGTATACCGTAAATTTATTCCTCGTCTTGAAAAGCTGTGACAAAGTATACATGATAAATGAGTTTTCCATTTTGGGATTGGCATTTACTGCCCACTGCTCCGCTATCTTTCGGACCATAGCTAGGATAGGACGACTCATTACTCTTCATATATGATTACGCCAACAGCAACCACTACTGCACTGCACAAACATCTCTACACCAATACTACTTTCAAACTACTGCCCTCTTCCTCTTTCTCTCACTCTGCTGATCTGCACAAACTCTCACCTCCGGTTTCCCTATGGCAGCCGGCTCAACTTCTCCAATCAGGTACCATGGATTTCTTCTTCTTCTTCTTCTTCTTCTTCTCTTTCCTGTTGCATATGTTGTATCATGTCCTCTCCAATATCCCTTGTCTCTGTCTGTGTATGTTGGGATCGTTGTTTTCAGGTAGATAGGACATGTGAGATTCTTGATTATGGTATAGTACTAGTGTGCATGTCTGTCTCCTACTTTACTGCATTAGTGATTGAGCCGTTGTTCCAGTTGTACTTTAGCTCATAATAAGTGGTGGTTTAGTTTGTTCCAGCTACCTAATATTGTTGGATTAATTACGTACCTCCATCTATATGTTAATTAATGTACTAATTAATCAGAGTTAGGGTGCCCAGCTACCTAAACTTTGGTGGCTTCAGTTGGGAGTAATGGGGTGTAATTAATTGATCTTCTTATGAGTGGAGATATCTATATATCCATTTCTTCTTCCCCCACACCCTGCCTTCCATTTGTATTTATTTGCAAAAGCTTTATGGTAACGGGTCCAGGTCCTGTTTGGTTTGTGTGCTTACAGATAGCTAGTCGCCGGTCAGCCAAAGAAACAAAGGAAGCGAGGAGTTAAAGGGCCATTTAGGCTTCGTATTTGAGGTATGTCTCATTTACGCGGCAACAGAAATGAATCGTTAATGGGTTTTTGGGGTTGAGGCGATTTATGGGTTAAGTTTTGTTAAATGGGCAGATTTGGATTGATAGGTGTCAATAAAAGTCTGTTTGGTGCATTGATTTGATACACATAGTTGATATGCAGAGTAAGAGTAGGTCATTTTCATTGAAAATTTCGATTAAATTCATACACATATAATTGCATCATTTACGTTGTCTCCAGTGGCGTTAAGGGTTTTCTTGGAGCAAGGGAAGTAGGGAACATACAAACTAACATGGCAGATTGGGTCATCCTGCTAATTCATGCACATTTTAATTAGTTTACTTAGTTAGCAAGGAAGACGAAAGCTATATATGGGGTTTACGGCCCTATTTAGCTAGGCTCTTTATAGTTTGTTATTTCTTTTCCAGTGTTTGACTGTTCGCTTTTTCTTCACACTTAGATTATTTTTAGGATCGAAACATATTCGATCAGATTCTATTCGGTCCAAATCGGTATAATTTGATACAATTGTCGCCCACCTTTAAACTAAATCCCTTTTTATATTATTTATACGCGCAATTGCTTCAAGTGAGACCACGCCCTATATATTTATGTTTGTTTTTTTGCTAGGATATGTCAAGCGGCAATGAAATTGAGCTTGTGAGAATTTTAGAGCTTCAGCTTAGTGGTAGCAATGATTCAGAGGAGCATACTGGTGTATCTAAGTCATGTGACGAGGAGATCAATCAAGTGGCAGAGGATGAGCTGACTTCTGATTCAAACGCAGATGTGAACCCGCCACTAATCCAAAGTGGTTCGCTAGAAGGCGCAAAAGGAGCTTCATCACTTCATCAAATACACACTCCTCGATCATTTAGGTACGTGCATGCATAAATATGTCATGCATTGATATTAATTAAGTCAGTTTCCATCAACTTAATTCTCTTCAATTTATCGATTCGAATTATAATTTGTTTCTAACTTTCTTTCAAGGACTTTACGCTTTTCCGCCAACCTCCATCTGATGGCGATTCTCGGAGGGATGACTATTGGGTATGCCCAAGCTGTAACAGGTATGTCAAATTGTTAGTGCTTACCTTAAAGCTTAAATATACTAATGACTAGTATGATCCGGTGATGAATAGAAAATCTCAGATTCGGGAGTTTGCTTGTAGCTTACAAGCTAGATAACGATGTTGGTGTCGATAAACTTTTACTTTATTATTCAATAAACATTACTAATGTCATAGTTACAATATATAAGCGAATAAACCAAATACGTAACCCTAGTTAACCCCAAACCTTACTATCAATCCTAGCCTACTCGACGCCAATACCACAAGAAAATTCCTAATTGGACTACTAAGCCCATGCACTACTACCCCTACCAATAGGGTTGGCCAATCACTTTTTGGTTACCAAGTAACCGCCGGTTAGAAGGTGATGGAGATGCTTTGGTTAGCCAAGTAACTAGAGTCGATTAACTGTGATTATACGGCTAACCAGAGCTAACCGACTTTGCCCTCCGTCCCCGAAGCCAAATTGGCCTAACACCTCCAAATCGACAACCAAACCATAATCGACCACGAACAAGAACCATTCAACCTTCAATTTCGTCCCTCCGCTCCCCGACTTCACGCCACCTCCGTCTCCGATCTCTGCACCCATTACTCCAAGCAGAAGCCTCAGATCGGACCAACCAAGTTGGCGGAGCCACCGGTCACTGACGTCGTCCTAGACAAATGACGAACCATAAACGGCGTCCTCAAAAGCCCAAACTTAACTCAACGGGCTTGAGGTCCCCTTCTCCTTCGGGATTAGGGCCTTCTGTTAACGTCGTCAGCGTCTCACCAACCACCAGCCTTCAAGCTTCCGGATCTCTCAATCAACAGCTATGGTTGGGAGATGCAGCAGTTAGCGGCGCCGGAACCCTTCTTCTGCCAAAGAAGACCAGAAAATGGCGAAGCGATTCTGACAGAGTTGATGCTTTGAAATAGTCTCGATCATAGAAGGATTGTAGAGAAGAAGAACATCCGAAACGCAGAAGAAGAGGAAACGTTTTGGAATGAAAGAGACGGCTAGTTGATTAAAGAACAGTTTATGATTTAAACATAGTCAGTCAACATGTGACACTTGGCGTTTATTTGTAATCCTAATTACAAAGCTGGATATAAAAGAACAGAGCAGCTAGTTGTTGTCTCTGTTAATTTCGGCCAATCCTTTGCCCTACTTGAAGAAACTTAACATGGTATTAGAGTGGTCCAACTAGGTCGCCTTCCGCAGCAAAATGTCTGGCAACGCTGAGACGACCGATGAAAACCAAGATGTCAGTGGAGGTTCTCAGCGTACTAGCGGCGTCTCCAACAACGCAACCAACTTTCGTTTTGGTTCATTTGGAGCAGATCAAAATGAAGTCATCGTTTTTTGTAACCCTTTCTATCTGAACACAAATGAGAGTTTTGCACAACCCATTGTTTCTGAATCGTTGGATGGGAGTAATTACTCCATGGGGAGTAGATCCATGAAGAAAGCTTTAAAAATGAAGCACAAACTCGGCTCCATTGATCGATCTATGGTGATACCAGCCAGAACTGATACAAGCTTTCCCTTTTGGGATAGTTGCAACATTGCTGTTATAACCTGGATTTTGAATTCGTTGGAGAAAGACATTAAGAGATCTGTATTGAGTCATGAAAATGCTAAGTATCTATGGGATAGGCTTCATCGTAGGTTTGGACAACTTAATGCCAATAGGTTGACAAATCTTGATGATGGAATACATAGATGCAAGCAAGGAACCATGACAATTGCTCGATACTACACTCTGAATAAAGGTTTGTGGGACGATTACACAGAGTATTGTCCAATTGTTGAATGCAATTGCTTGCCAAGAAACCCAAACCGTTGTACAGCTGTGGTTGCATATAATCAGAAACATGAGACAGATTATCCGATTTCCTTAGAGGTTTGAATCCAGACTTTGAGGGAGTCAAGAAGCCGCTCTTGATGTTGAAACCTCTTCCCACTGTTGCTGAGAAGTCTCTGATTGTAGCTCTTGCATTTCAGGGAGACAATGCCAAGACAGTTGGTGATAGAAACCAAGCCAAGAAGTGCTGCAAATTTTGCAAAAAGACCAATCATAATATTGAAGAGTGTTGGAACTGTAAGAGGAAGAACAGAGAACATGAACAAGGAAGCAGCTCACACACAGGGTCTCAGAAATTTGTGGGTTCTGTGTCACAAGGTAACTTTAGTGGCAGTGAGACTACTTCTGAAGTTAGCTATTACAACGAAAGCAGCATGGTAAGTCATTCTTCACCTAGCTTTACTGCAGAAGAAATGTACAAGCTGAGATACTTGCTGCATTGTGGTGCTAATAACCCAATTCCAGTCAACCATACCTCATCACCCTCACCACCAACCTCACCTTCCATTCACCACCAGGCTTACTCTGTGCCACAGTATCTACCTCCTTTCCCAAACTATTCAGGTAAATTTGTCTTATCCTCAGCCATAAACTTAAAATCTCACAAACCTGATAGTTTATGGATGTTGGACACATGAGCTTCAGACCACATAGCTTGCTCATTAGATTTATTCACTGAACATAAATCAGTACAGGATGTCTTTGTTCATCTTTCTAACTATGCTAAGATTCTAGTAACTCATATAGGAACAATCAAGCTACCCTTTGGCTTATACCTCTATAGTTTCTCCTTCAACCTAGTGTCAGTGAGTAGGCTTACACATGATTTTCCCATCTCCTTACACTTTAATTATGATATTTGCCATATCTAGGACCTTCAAAACAAGAGGACGATTGGTTTAGCAAGAGAAACTAAAGGCCTCTACCAGCTTACCTTCTTAGAACAACCATATGACCAACCCACTTCACATCAAAGCCAAGATGCCAATGTTTTCAATTTCAATCCTCAACAAGTAGACTTGTGGCACTAGAGATTAGGACACCCTAGCAATGATAGCCTTAGCTTGTTACAACATGTTGACACCTCTGTAACTTCTTTCAACGTTGATCATTGTATTGTTTGTCATTTCTCTAAACACAAGAAACTACCTTTTCTTATTAGCACAAACAATGCAGTTAAGCCTTTCAGCTTGTTCATGTTGACATTCGGGGACCACTGTCTATTATGTCTTATAATGGATATAATTACTTCCTTACTATTGTTGATGATTGTCGAAGAGCTGTATGGGTTTATTTGATGCATGGCAAGGGTGAAGCTAGGGAACTTTTTGAAGGGTTTTTGTATGTTGGTTAAGAACTAGTTTGCTAGTACAGTTTAGATTATAAGAAGTGACCAGGGGAGGGAATTTAACATGTGTGACTTCTTCATGACTGAGGGAATTGAACATCAGATGTCCCGTGTTTACACACCAGAACAGAATGCTAGCTAGGTCACTCAGATTTCAATTTGGCATTCCCTTACAATTCTGGAGTGACTACATCTTGCATTCTGTGCATCTTATCAACAGAATTCCTAATCCAGTTCTTAACAATCGCTCTCCCTATGAAGTACTTTACAAGAAACCACCCTTTCTTGGAAATCTAAGAGTTTTTGGCAGCTTAGCCTATGCTGGGATTCCTGCATCTGGTAGGACCAAATTTACCCCTAGATCCAGGCAATGTGTCATGCTAGGTATACTAGTAGGAATCAAGGGTTATAAGCTGTTAGACATACACACCAACCATATTTTCACTTCCAATGATGTTGTATTCTATGAATCAATACTCCCTTTAAGAACTGGCAACACTGTTTCCCCATCACCTCCTCTATCTGACTTTCCCAATCCTCCTGTTGAGACTAGTCCACCACCTGATCTCATTATTCCCAACCATTCTACTCCAGATTCTCAACCTCCCTTGTCACCTGAACTAGTGTCAGCTGATGAGGGGGACACCACTGTGACTACTGACATGGCTGAATTTGATCAGGAACTAGAACCTCAACAAGAGTATGAACCACCTTCAAGACCTAAGAGACAGTATCATTTGCTTAGCAAATATGCCGACTGTGAAGTTGACCCTGGATTACAATTTGGTGCTTTTGGACAAAATGCAGCTGTGAGCAGACATCCAATAGCATTGAATGTGGATCAACTGAATTCTGTTGATAGAAAGTATGCATTGAGTGTCATTCAACAGGATGAGCCACTTACATACCAAGAGGCTATCAAGTATGAACACTGGAGGAAAGCCATGCGACAAGAATGGGATTCATTAGAAGAAAACCAAACCTGGGACATAGTTCCTCTACTTGAAGGGAAAAAAGTAATTGGGAATAAGTGAGTCTACAAGATCAAACTTAAATCGGATGGCTCTCTTGAAAGGTTCAAGTCCAGGTTGGTAGCCAAAGGCTACACTCAGGTCTATGGGATTGATTTCCTGAATACCTTCTCCCCAGTTGCCAAAATCAACTCTATAAAGGCCTTGTTAGCAATTGCAGCAGTGAAGAACTGGACATTAGAGCAAATGGATGTTTCAAATGCTTTCCTACATGGAGATTTACATGAGGAAGTATATATGTAATTGCCACCAGGGTTGGATTTCGAATTTCCTGGACCAGAGAAGATGGTGTGCAGGTTAAAGAAGTTCCTATATGGACTGAAACAAGCATCTAGACAGTGGTTTGATAGACTTAGTAGTTTTCGCCTAAAGACTGGATTCAGCCAATCTGCCTCAGACTACTAATTATTCACTAAGTGGATTCGTGGTAGAATTATTGTTATGCTCATTTATGTAGATGACATAATCATAGGAGGTGATGCTCCGAAAGATAGAACAGGTGAAGAAGCTTCTAAGTCAGGAGTTCAAGATGAAACTCTTTGTTGCACTGAAATACTTTCTGGGTTTGGAGATTGATAGAACAGCAGCAGGGATAAGTGTGTGCCAGAGAAAATACTGTTTGGAGTTGTTGAAGGAGACAGGTTATCTGGAATCCAAGGATGCAGACTCCCATTGATCACAAGGTCAGACTTTCATCGACACAAGGGACTCCTCTGAATGACTCTGAGTAGTGTATGAGACTTGTGAGAAGGCTGCACTATATCACAA